TACTGAAGCAACTGCATTAATTCCATTTTATATAGCTGTCTAGCCAGAAAAGGGGAAGGTAAGAGATGCTCAGGAAAAAGTTTGACTCAATAAAAAGTTTGAAAGCTGACCCTGTAAAGGTTTGTCAGAAACTGCTAGGCTTGGATTTAATGCCATCCAGAGGGACCTTGACAGGCTGGAGAGGTGGGCCTGTGAGAACCTCATGAAGTTCAACAAGGTCAAGTGCAAGGTCCTGCATGTGGGTCGGGGCAATCCCAAGCACAAGTACAGGCTGGGCGGAGAATGGAGCGAGAGCAGCCCTGAGGAAAAGGACTTGGGAGTGCTGGTGGATGAGAAGCTCAACATGAGCCAGCAATGTGCACTGGCAGCCCAGAAAGCAAATCGTATCCTGGGCTGCATCAAAAGGAGCGTGGCCAGCAGGTCCAGAGAGGTGATTCTGCCCCTCTACTCTGCTCTTGTGAGACCCCATGTGGAATGCTGCTTTCAGCTCTAGAATCCCCAACACAAGAAGGACATGGAGCTGCTGGAGCGGGTCCAGAGGAGGGCCACGATGATGATCCAAGGGCTGGAGCACCTCTCCTATGAAGGCAGGCGGAGAGAGTTGGGGCTGTTCAGCCTGGAGAAGAGAAGGCTCCAGGGTGATCTTATAGCAGCCTTCCAGTACTTAAAGGGGGCCTACAGGAAAGCTGGAGAGGGACTTTTTACAAGGGCATGTAGTGGTAGGACAAGGGGCAATGGATTTAAACTGAAAGAGGGCAGATTTAGATTAGATGTAACGAAGAAATTTTTCACTCAGAGGGTGGTGAGGCAGTGGAACTGGTTGCCCAGAGAAGTTGTGGCTGCCCCATCCCTGGAAGTGTTCAAGGCCAGGTTGGATGAGGCTTTGGGCAACCTGGTATAGTGGAGGTTTTCCCTGCCCATGGCAGGGGGGTTGGAACTAGATGATCTTTGAGGTCCCTTCCAACCCAAACCATGCTATGATTCTATGATTCTAATGTTTTACTATGGCAAATGTCCGTATCTTCTAAGGATATTTGTCATGTATGTCATTGTATGACACACCGCACACAGAATCCATATATGCAGAAATAGCTCTGTGCAGAATGCCTGGCAGTGCTTAGGCAAGGGAGGCTCTCAGGTGTTTTATGTCCTTAGAAGTAAATTTCAGTTCCATGTTCCAATCTGGAACTGTAAGAAATATAGCCGTCAATGGTTTTACACAGGTATTTCCAAAAGCTTTTTTGAAGACAAGGACTTCTTGTACTCAGCCAAATTACTGCCATCTTGGAGAGTACACAGATGATTGTTTAATACTCTGTGCCACCAGATGAGAATCCTATTTCAAATCTTAATGAATAAATACTCTCTCTGAAACGTCTCATAGCTTTTTCTGCCTTTAAATCAAATTACTAACAGACAGCCCTAGACACCTGCAAAATCTACAGCCACGAGGGAGAACAAAGTCCAAAATTAACTTTCAGAACATACTTTTTTTTTTTTTACAGAAACATTTCCCAGAACAAGCAGCTCCAGGGCATGCTCAGTTTGGATTCCACCACAGAAATAAAGACATCTTATGATCTTTCGTATCCTCAGAGAAAAGTATATAGGAAATTTGAGGTTGGATGGATGGGACTCTTTATACCTTGTCTGCACTTATAACAAAGGTTGAAGTGGAACATGCTTGCTCTTAACACTTTGTGTCATTTATCCTGTAAGAGAAATAAAGGCCTAATCTTGGCTTCATTTGAAGCAGTAATTTTGCCACCAACTGATGCATTTTTATGTTACAACACAGCAAGCACAGAACACATATAAGGATGTATTGACTTCATTGAGTTATTCATATGTATAATTGATAGAATCACAGAATGGTTGAGGTGGGAAGGGACCTCTGGGGGTCATCTGGTCCAATGTCCCTGCTCATGCAGGTCCATCTAGAGCCAGTTGCCCAGGACCATGTCCAGTCAGCTTTTTAACATCTCCAGGGATGGAGACTCCACCACCTCTCTAGGCAACCTGTGCCAGAGCTCGGTCACCTCCACAGTTAAAAAGTGTTTCCTGACATTCAGAGGGAACCTCCTGTGTTTCAGTTAGTGGCCGTTGCCTCTGGTCCTGGCACTGAGCACCATTGAAAAGTCTGGCTCTATCTTCTTCATTCCCTTCTATTACGGTATTTATACACACTGATGAGATTCCCCGAGCCTTCTCTTCTCGAGGCTGAAGAGCTTCAGCTCTCTCAGCCTTTCCTCATAGGAAAAACGCTCCAGTACCTTAATCTCAGTGGCCCTTGGGCATACCAGACAGGGTCCACCAATGTCTCTCTGGTGCTGAGAAGCCCAGACCTGGACACAGTACTCCAGGGTGGGGCCTCACCAGTGCTGAGGGGAGAGACAGGATCACCTCCCTCCATCTGCTAGCAACACCTCTCCTAATGCAGCCCAGGAAACCATTCACCTTCTTTGCCACAAGGGCACATGTCTGGTTCATGTTCAAGCTGGCGTTCACCAGAACCCCCAGGTCCTTTTCTGCCAAGCTTCCTTCCAGCTGGGTGGCCCCCAGCATGTACTGATGGCGGGGGTTGTTCCTCCCCAGATGCATGACTTTGCACTTCCTCTTGTTGAATTTCCTGGGGCTCTTGTCAGCCTATTTCTCCAGCCTGTTGAAGTCCCTCTGGAACTCCTCCCAGTTTTGTGTTATCAGTAATTAATTAATTTTAAAAGGCACCAAAAAGATTAATTAAAAAAAAAAAAAACAAAAACAAAAACAAAACCAACCACCAATTGGAAGAATGTTTCATCATGGGAAAAATTTATTAAACATTTGCTAACCTTTTTTTTTTTTCTGTTCTAACAGAACATTGCTGTTAAATACAGTATCCACTCAATTTATGAAACTATTAATCCTCCTAATTTATGCATGGAGGAAACAAACCATGTAATTTTGTTGTTGCCAGCAACTCACGCTCACAAAAATGCCTGATATCCAGGAAAAAGGGTAACATCAGATGGAAAACATACAGGTAGACAAGACTTAAGAACACATAGCATCGTTAAAATATCAACAAGGAAATTAAGTTCTTCGTAGAGGAAATGTTGTTCAACATCCATTTGCACTAGGAGGTTGCTAAGTGTTCTGGGAAATCCCCCAGTTGTGACTTCCTCCTCTACGG